GAAAAGGAAACTGCAGGGGCTGGGCACAATTGAAATGTGGAGCTTGTTCAAGGAACAGCTACTGCGTGTCCTTGAGAAGTATGTACCTGTCAGGCAGGGAGGAAGTGGTCGAGCGAGGGAACCGTGGTTTACTAAAGAAGTTGAATCTCTTGTCAAGAGGAAGAAGGGGGCTTATGTAAAGATGAGGCGTGAAGGCTCAGTTAGGGCGCTTGAGAGTTACAAGTTAGCCAGGAAGGACCTAAAGAGAGAGCTAAGAAGAGCCAGGAGGGGACATGAGAAGTCTTTAGCAGGTAGGATCAAGGAAAACCCTAAAGCTTTCTATAGGTACGTCAGGAATAAAAGAATGACTAGAGTAAGATTAGGGCCGGTCAAGGACAATAGTGGGAAGTTGTGCGTGGAGCCCAAAGAGATGGGAGAGGCGCTAAATGAATATTTTTCGTCAGTATTCACACAGGAAAAAGACAATGTTGTCGAGGAGAATACTGAGATACAGTCTATTAGACTAGACAGGATTGAGGTTCATAAGGAGGAGGTGTTAGCAATTCTGGAAGGTGTGAAAATAGATAAGTCCCCTGGGCCGGATGGGATTTATCCTAGGATTCTCTGGGAAGCTAGGAAGGAGATTGCAGAGCCTTTGGCTTTGATCTTTATGTCGTCATTGTCTACAGGAATAGTGCCAGAAGACTGGAGGATAGCAAATGTTGTCCCCTTGTTCAAGAAGGGGAGTAGAGACAACCCTGGTAATTATAGACCAGTGAGCCTTACTTCGGTTGTGGGTAAAGTGTTGGAAAGGATTATAAGAGATAGGATTTATAATCATCCAGAAAGGAATAATTTGATTAGGGATAGTCAACACAGTTTTGTGAAGGGTAGGTCGTGCCTCACAAACCTTATTGAGTTCTTTGAGAAGGTGACCAAACAGGTGGATGAGGGTAAAGCGGTTGATGTGGTGTATATGGATTTTAGTAAAGCGTTTCATAAGGTTCCCCACGGTAGGCTATTGCAGAAAATACGGAGGCATGGGATTGAGGGTGATTTAGCGGTTTGGATCAGAAATTGGCTAGCTGTAAGAAGACAGAGGGTGGTGGTTGATGGGAAATGTTCATCCTGGAGTTCAGTTACTAGTGGTGTACCTCAAGGATCTGTTTTGGGGCCACTGCTGTTTGTCATTTTTATAAATGACCTGGATGAGGGCGTAGAAGGATGGGTTAGTAAATTTGCGGATGACACTAAAGTCGGTGGAGTTGTGGATAGTGCGGAAGGATGTTGCAGGTTACAGAGGGACATAGATAAGCTGCAGAGCTGGGCTGAGAGGTGGCAAATGGAGTTTAATGCGGAAAAGTGTGAGGTGATTCACTTTGGAAGGAGTAACAGGAATACAGAGTACTGGGCTAATGGTAAGATTCTTGGTAGTGTGGATGAGCAGAAAGATCTCGGTGTCCATGTGCATAGATCACTGAAAGTTGCCACCCAGGTTGATAGGGTTGTTAAGAAGGCGTACGGTGTGTTAGGTTTTATTGGTAGAGGGATTGAGTTTCGGAGCCATGAGGTCATGTTGCAGCTGTACAAAACTCTGGTGCGGCTGCACTTGGAGTATTGTGTACAGTTCTGGTCACTGCATTATAGGAAGGATGTGGAAGCATTGGAAAGGGTGCAGAGGAGATTTACCAGGATGTTGCCTGTATGGAGGAAAGGTCTTATGAGGAAAGGCTGAGGGACTTGAGGCTGTTTTCGTTAGAGAGAAGAAGGTTAAGAGGTGACTTAATAGAGACATACAAGATGATCAGAGGATTAGGTAGGGTGGACAGTGAGACCCTTTTTCCTCGGATGGTGATGGCTAGCACGAGGAGACATAGCTTTAAATTGAGGGGTGATAGATATAGGACAGATGTCAGAGGTAGGTTCTTTACTCAGAGAGTAGTAAGGGCGTGGAATGCCCTGCCTGCAACAGTAGTAGGCTCGCCAACTTTAAGGGCATTTAAATGGTCATTGGATAAACATATGGATGATAATGGAATAGTGTAGGTTAGATGGGCTTCAGATTGGTTTCACAGGTCGGCGCAACATCAAGGGCCGAAGGGCCTGCACTGCGCTGTAATGTTCTATGTTCTGCAAAGACAGACAAAACTAATTAATTTTGCTGCCATTTCTTGTTCTCCATTATTAATCCTTCCATTTCAGACTATAATAGGGCCTGCATTTGATTTAGCTAATCTTTTGTTAAAATAGAGCTCTTACAATCTGTTTTTATGTCCCTTGCAAGTTTACTCTCATAGTTTTTTTTCTCTTAATCAATGTCTTGGTCTTCCTTTGCTGAATTCCAAACTGCTCTCAGTCCACAGGCTTGCTGCTTTTATATGACTCCTCTTTGGATCTAATAGAATCCTTAATCTCTTTTATTAACCATGGTTGAGCCACTTTTCTGTAATGTTAATGTACCCAAAAGCAGTGCATTCATTCCTTTCCACCATGCCCTGTTCATTGTCATGCCTGTTTAATTAAAGATGCGTGTAATCTTAATTTCCTTCTCAATGCTAACCCCTACCTCTCTCTCCTTTTTGGATGCCCACAGACCTCTCTCACTTACTTTCTGCACCTTGGTGCTTTTTAATTCCATTCAGATTTAGATGTGGAATTAATCAATTTCCTGTGCTAGTATTCTTTCTCACTTGTATTTATTTAATCTTTCACTAACAAAGACACCCTCCATCCTGTTCCATTTTTGCCAGTCTTTCCCAAAGACTGAACACCCTTGGATAGGCCGTGGTCACTGCATAGCCTTATTTCCATGATCATAATCATATTGTACCTGTTTGCAACTATTTGTATTGTTGATTTATCTAACTTATTGCAAATGTTCTGTGAACTCGGATATAGTACCTTTTGAACTTTGTCTTTTTTTGACATTTCTACACTTTAATTTTGTACCCCTGCCCTATTAACTGTCAGCTCTTGTTTCCTGTGCCTTTCACTTCTGCTTTCAACTTTTGTACCTCCCATTTCCATCTTCACTTCCCTCACTCTTGTGTCCCTGTTGATGTTCCTATCCTCCCCCACCCACTCCAGTTTAAACATGCACTCATTGTGCTAATGAACACCCCTGGAAGTAGGAGTCCTTGTCCTGCAGGAGTGCAGCCTTTCAAGCTTTTTACGGGTCCCTCTTTCTCTCGAATTGGTTTCAATGTCTCAAAAATCTAAATCCATCCCTCTTACACCATCCTCCTAGACACGCATTCATCCAATCTGTATATTGGTGAGGCCACTTTCGGAATACTGCATTCAATTCTGGGCTCCCTACTATTGGGAAAATGTTGTTAAAATTGAAAAGGTTCAGTCAAGATTTACAAGGATGTTACCAGGTTGAAAGGTTTGAGCTATGCAGAGAGGCTGAATGGGCTGGGGCTATTTTCCCTCGAATGTCGGAGGCTGAGGGGTGACATAGAGATTTTATAAAATCATGGGGATCATGGATAGGGTGAAAAGCCAAGGTTCTTTTTCCCGGGGTAGAGGAGTCCAAAACAAGAGGGCATAGGTTTAAGGTGCGAGGGGAAAGATTTATTAGGGACCTTGGGACAACCTTTTCATGCAAAGGGTGGTGCGTGGATGGAACAAGTTGCCAGACGAAATGGTGGAGACGGGTACAATGACAGCATTTAAAAGGCATCTAGGTGGGCACATGATTAGGAAGGATATAGTCGAAATCACGACAGATGCGACTAGATCAGTTTAGGATATCTGGTTGGCATGGACGAGTTAGACTGTTACCATGCTGTATAACTCCATGACTCCTATTCCTGATTTTTGCTATCATGTAGCCATGAGAGTAATCCTGAGATGATGACCTTCGAGGTCCTGCTTTTTAATTTATTACTTAGCTCCCTATATTCTGCATATAGAACTCAATCCCTCTTGTTTTTTTATTCCCGAGTTGTTCGTACCAAAATGCTTTCCCTCCCTCTTCAGATGTTCTGCAGCTACTCAGTGACATCCTTAACCCTGTCATCGGGCAGGCAACACACCATCCTGACTCTGCAGTCACAGAAGCATCTATCTGTTTCCCATATGATAGAATCCCATGGCACAATATTGCTCACACTTCTGTGTTATATGTAATCTGCTCCAGGTTCCCAAAATATGAAATTCAAAATCCTAATCCCCATTTGACTGTAAATCCTTCAGCCTCCTTTCCTTATATTTCCACTGCATTTTCTCTAGCACTGAATCCCATGTTGCTTCAAGATTCACTTTCTAAATGTCTACATTTTGCCTTTCATCTTTTGTTTAAAAAACTCATCAGAACCGGTCTGTTTAACCAAGCTTTTATTTGGCCCTCCTATCTCCTTTCCAACAATATGTTGGCAGCAACATTCCTTCATAATGTTTCTATTATCATAGCAGAAACTTTCAAATACAATCTCTACGATTAGAACGATTGGTTAAAGCATTGCAGCTGTTGAGTATGAATAGGAAAATTGTAAACTGATATTTTCGCCAACCTAGTATTGGAAAAAATATTTTCTTTCCGTATTCTTGACCCTTTCCGTAAAATTGTTATTAGTAATTAACAGTTGCAGTCCCTAAAGTGTTTCACTTTGCTTGAGCGATGAATTACTAGTAATTCAGTGTAGCCAGGATATATAAAGCAGCTGTGGGACATTTTGGATCGGTTCACAGCACCATTTTTAAGTTAGATTAACATGGTCCATTTTGTTGTTTTAGATAAAGCCAGATAGGTTTAATATAATGTAATCTAGACGGATATATTATATGTGCAGTGTTTGTGATAAGTGGTGGAAAAAATGCTTCATATATTCTGCTAGAATGACTTGTAATACGACGTGTGTCTAAAAGTAACTGTTTTAATTATTGTTTCAGAAAAAAAGACGACCAATTGAGATAACTAAATTGAAACTTCAGTACTAAGTTGAAATCTGTAAATATTTTATAGGTGTTCTTTGCATTGGTCTTTCATTTATTACTCTTTGTTTTTTTTTGTTTAGGTGCATGATTGCTGATGAGGTAAGAATATTAATTGACCTTTAGTCCTAAACTGGAATTGTAATGCTGTGATTAAATCGCGTATGTCTCTTCTCCATGTTACCTAGCATAATCCCCAGCATTTTGAGAGAGAGAGAGAGAGAGAGGAAAGAATCAAATCATATAGAATAATGTCAAAATTGTGGAATCTAATCATTCAAGCCTTGATTGCGATTCAAAACATCCCATCCATTAAAATATTATTTAATCAGTGATATCAGCCACTCCAATTATAGTTTTGCATTGCATCGCACAATACCATGATTGTTATAAAAGTGTATTATGCAACTCTGCATAAATACTGGCATGGAACATAGAGTAAAAGTGGTGGTAGGAGCAACTATAAATGTTATGTCACTTTTGCTGTGATGAAGTAATTGGTTAGTTTTCAAATCTCTTTTGTAAGTATTTGGCAAACAGCAAATTTATACCTCCTCCAGAAAATTTCCTCTGGTCGTTTGGATTCATTCTAACAAAGCTGTTAGAAAGTAAGCTCGAAGTAAATTTTAAAAAAAACTAAGCCCTTTTGCCTATAGTTTTTGTCAGTAATTGAAATTTTGTATAAAGCAAAAAAAATTAAAAACCATATGTTGTGTTGGAACTAGATTTATTTGAACTGCTTGCTTTAATATGTTGTTTCCATTCTTGTCCGCATTCCCTAACCCCCTCCCGAATGGCCAATCAGCTCAAAGCTTGACAGTAGTTTGCCATGTGACCCTCCAGTCTTTTCCTGGGCTTTGTTTCCCTTTCCCTTCTCTTTTTTTATGTGTACAAACTTGGCCACCGATTCTGTACTTCTCCTTGTGGAGGTTTGTTGGGCCATTTGCTGGCAGGCTGCACTGTGTGAAGAGAAATAGAAATGCATTTCCTGCAACTTAAAGCTGTTCTCCAGGAGCTTTGCTGAGAAGACTTTTTATTTGGCAGCAGTGGGAACGTTGACAAGTAGCAAATGGAAATGGGGCATATCATGGAATATTAGCAGTATCTTTGTAATTTGACAGACTACAGTAATCAGATCTCAATGATAGCAAGGTAATAAAAAAACAATGTTGTGCCTTTTGGCTTTATAGGGAAAGCCACCAGTTAGAAAGCATCAGGCATCACAAATCCATTCTTTCAAATCATACCCAACAAGAACAACTGATGGCAGAGAGTCTCTTCCGCTTGTTTCTTCTTGTAAGAACCAAAGTGTGGCATCACAGGAAAATTGGTAGATATCGGTTAGAGATCTTCTGTATCTTTTGATTAACCAATTGGTTAAAATCAGGAGATGTTATTACAGCTGAAGAGAGAAGTTTGCAAATTTACCTTTTAAAGTGTTTAGTGTCCAAATTAATTAATTAAAAGAGAATTAACAATGGAGAATAGAGATTGCTGGGCAGGTGATTTGTTTTAGCTGTACTGTGTGATGTGTGTGCAATCACACTGGCACAATGTGTTGGCTTTTTGAAGAATTTCAACTCAGAGATGAATGAGCTAGAGTCTGAGTTGCAGATACTTCAGGGAGGGGGAAGAGAGATACCTGAACAATGTGTTTCAGGAGGCAGGCACACCTCTTGGATAACTTACTCTATAACCAACACCGGAATGTGAGCCTTAGAATGAGACTAGTGTCGCCATTTTCATGTGCCTCAACCATTGCTGTCATCAAATGGGTGCAAGGTTCTTGCTTCTGATGTGTACAATGGCATAGAGGGCAGCGTGGTTGGGTGAACTGACCATCGTCCAGAGCATGACTGAAGTGATAAGGGATAGCATAGTTTAGGGAAAAGATACTATTCTCTGTGACAAAGACAGAGAATTCTGAAGGATGTGTTGCTTACCTAGTGCCAAATTTCAGCTTTTCTCTTCTGGCTGGTGTGGAACTGGAGTGGGAGGGCAAAAGTTCAGTTATCGTGATCCATGTAGGTACCATTGACATAGATAGGTTCTGCTGAGGGATTATGAGTAGCTTGGGGTCAAGTTTTAAAGCAGAACCCCAAAGTTAATAATCTGCAGATAACTGCCTGAACCACATGCAAATTGGCATGAATAAGATTTAGAAAGGTAAATGCATGGTTCAATGATTGGAGTGGGAGAAATGGGTTCTGATTCATGGGGTGCCCGTACCAGTTCTGGAGAAAGAGAGGTGTTCCGTTGGGATCAGAGAGGTAGAAAATATACGCAAAGATTGAAAACAGAGTGTATAATGAAGGTTGAAAGCTTAATGCTGTTTATCTGAATGCATACAGCATTTGTAACAAGGCGGATCAGTTGATGACACAAATGAAAATAAATGAATCTGACTTGATTGGTTTCTTGAAGACATAATTGCAGAATGGTCAAGGCTTGGGTGTCAATGCTCAAGTTAATCAACATTCCAGAAAAATAGGCATAAAAGAAAAGGAGGGAGTAGCTTTATTACTAAAAGACGGTTCTGTGCAGTAGCGAGTAGCAATATCGATATTAGAGATCATGATGTGTAATCTGTTTGGATGGAAAAAAAGAAAGGCAAAGAAAAGAAGTCACTGGTCAGAGTCATCCAAAAGCTGCCAAAGAATTGCTTCTCCCTTTGGATCAAGTAAAAATCAGGCAAGAAGTGCACTACAGTTGGCATGGATAATTTTCATTTGCATGTGGACTGACCAAATCAGGTGAGCAAGGGGACGTGGAAAACAAATTTGTGGAGTGCATCAGGGATTGTTTCTTCAAGCAGTATGTTACAAATCTTCTCAGGAGCTGGTTATTTTAGACCTAGTAATGTGTACTGAGAAAGGATTAATAATTTGCCAGTTTGGCTGTCTTGCACACCATCGTTCTACCGTTCTCAAATTCTGATCACTTAATTTGCACTATCAGCGGTCTCTCTCCTCCAGCACTCCACCCGCCTACTATAGCATAAATGCTGCGCACGCACACACACTTCACATCAGCTCTGATGAAGAGTCTTCTAGATTCGAATGTTAGCCTGCTCTCTTTCCATGGATGCTGCCTGAACCACTGTGATTTCCAGCATTTATTGTTTTCAGTACAGATTCCAGCATCTGAAGTAATTTGCTTTTTAATTGAGATCTCATTGTTAAGAATTCTCGAGGCATTCATGATCAGTTTAAGGGAGAGCAACTTGCGTCTCTAATCAGTATCCTTAACTTAACTAAGACCAGTTGTTGAGGTATGAATATAGAGTTGTCTAACATGATCTAGGAAAATAAACTAAGGGCAAAGTCAGTGGTTGAGTAGTGTCTGACATTTCAGATATTTGATAATGCTCAGGTAATGGAAGGAGTCATTAAATGGATGAACCACCTGTGGTTAACAAAGTGGAAGTCAAGGAAAGTATCCAGCCAAAAACTTAAGTTTACAACGTGGTGAAAACTTATGATGAGTTAGATGAATAATACTTTTTTGGAATCAGCAGAGCATGACTAAAAAGCTAATAATGAGAATTATGAAAATAAATTAACAAGAAATATTGAAAGCAAACAGCAAGAGCTTCCACAGTTGTATATAAAAAAGGGAATAGCTAAAGTAAATGTGAAACACTTGGAGAATGCAACTGGATAATTTACAGTGTAGAATAGGGAAAGGACAGATAAATTTGAACCAATATTTTGCATCAGTCTTCACGGTTAAGGATATTATAAACATCTCACAGATAACAGAAGCAAGGTGCTAATGGGAAGAAAGATCTTGTAGCATTCTATTATCATTTTGGTTGAAGTATTTGATAAATTACTGAGACGACAGGCTGAAAAGTCACCTCCAGCCAAAAATTTGAAAGGAAGTGGCTACAGAGATAATGGAGGCATTTATTTAAAAGTAATTGGATTCTGGGATTTGAAAATGGTTGAAGTGATGCACTTTTTCAAGAAGGGAGAGACAGAGCAAGCAGGAAACAGTAGGCCAGTTACCTTAACATCTGTTGTTTGGAAAAATGCTGGTATCCAATATTAAGGTAGAAATAACAGGGCACTTTGAAAAACTTAATGCAAAGAAACGCAATCAACATGGCTTTGTAAAGCGGAATTCATATTTACAAAATTTGCTTGTATTCTTTGACACTATATCAAGCAGAGTTGAATAAGGGGTCCAGTTGACACAGTGTATTTGGATTTCCTGAAGGCATTCACTGAGGTGCTGCCTAAAAGTTTATTGCACAAGTGAGGAGCTCACAATAATGGGGGTAATGTATTAGCATGGATTTGGGTCTGGCTAACAGAAGAAAAATGAGTCAAGATTAAATGGGTGTTTTCCAATTGTGGAGTGCTATAAGGATTAATCCTTGGGCCTCAATTATTTCTTATCTATATTGATGACTTGGAGTAGGGGGCAGAGTTTAACATATTCAAATTTGCTGACGACATAAAAACAGTTGAGATGAGGAAATAAGTAATCTGCAAGGGGATATAGATAAGTTGAATGAATGGGACAAAAACTTGGCAGATAGAGTTTAATGCAGGAACGTGTGAGGCCTTGTACTTTGGCAGGAAGATCAAAAGGCAGACTATTTAAATGAAGAGAACCTCTTTTTTTTTTGGAAAGAAGTTGCAGCACAGAGGATCCGGGTATTCTTGTGCATGAAACGAAATGTTAGCATTCGGGTGTAGCAAGCATTTCAGACAGCAAATAGAATTTTGGTATTTATTGCTAGGATGTTAGAGCTTAAAGATGGGGAAGTTTTCTTACAACTCTTCAGGTTGTTGTTGAGGCCGCCCCTGGAGTTCTGCATAAAGTTTTGGTCCCTGTATTTTAAGTAAAGGATATACTGGCATTGAAGGCAGTTCAAAAGAAATTCGCAAAGTTAATACCTGGAATGAACAGGTTGACCTATTGAGAATAGTTAGACAGGTTAGGCCTTTCTTCATTTGCGTTTAAAAGAATGAGGGGTGATCTCATAGATGTATTCAAGATTGTGAGTGGAATGGCAGGGCAGATGTTGAGATGATTCCAGTCATGGGGAAGTCTCCCACTGGGGATTACAGAATAAGGAGATACTCATTTAA